TCGAGCCAAAACGAGTCGAACACAAACGAACAAATGTTTGCTCGTATTCGGCTCATTAACTTAGTGGACGAGCCGAACACAAGTTGTTCGAGAACAACGAACGGTTTTGACAGCCCTAATCAGGAGGGGGTAATTAACCATAGAGGCTTGTGTTTATGGAAAACCTCAAACCCAAAAATCTTAAAGTTCTTGCAAAATGAGGGCAAAATCTCTTAATTCATTTGACTTCTAGAAATTTGATCTTGAACCTAACACATTAAGTTCTCCGCAAGAGTTTAGTGCTGTTTCAAATTTTCAGAGCCCGTAACGAGCTATAGATTGCTTGTTATTTGATGTTGTGATTAATTACAATGCATGTAAGAAGTTTATTTTAATCTTTTTATTTTAATTTTATACTTATATTTTTGTTTTATTTTGTTATTAAATCTAGAAATTCATTTTAGATTTTTTCATCTCAAGTTTTTCATGAAATATTTCAGGAATCTTCTTGCCTCTTCTCATATTAAGTGCGTCTACAAGTAAAACTCCAATATTCTCCAAGTTCAAGAATTTTCTTTACCACAAATCTTCTTATTAATATAAGTATATGTATGACCTATTTTTGCCAAATTATGAAATTTTAAAGTGCTATTATTGTCATTAATATAAAAAATTTGGGCATTCAATCAAATAGTTTGATATGTTCTCCTTATTTGATTTTTATATATTAAGTTTCTGAATTAGCTCAGATCTCAAAATCGAATAATCTTGAGCTCATTGATTTTCTTTCATTGAGACAATTCATCCCAACACCAAGCAAGTGAGATTTGGAGAATATTTGACATTTCTAATTATCCCAATAAGTCTTCAATTATACTTTTGTGTAATATATATATATATATATATATATATATATATATATATATATTAGAAACAATGAATAATGAGATTCTACACAAGTATACGTATCGTTATCAAGAAATAATGGACTTTCTATTTAAGCCCCAAATATTGATCCTTCATGAAAGTTTTAAATTAGAAATGACAAATATGCTAGGAAATTCACAGAAAGTCAATTGAAATCACTGTCACTAATTTCAATTGTTGAGATGTAATAAAAATTAAATTTCTAAACTATTATCAAATCAAATATGCAAAATTTTAAAAATTAAATACTAATCTATTAATTATGTTTATGTAACGGAGATTCTTTGGCTATTATCAAATCCTTCCGACTACAATGAGGCTATGGTAAAATGAGATGAGATAAATGTTCATAATATGTATTGTGCCAAATAGGAGCAATTTTAATTCTCTACCCTGATACAGTGCATAGAAAATCATTGGCTAATCTCAGTGTTTAGTCCCTAATTCCAATAGGTTATAGATAAATATTTTCTTATATTTATAACCTATTAAAATATTTTCTTATATTTATCTTGATATTTAATTTGATAGATTTATTAATAAAGGATACTAAGCAGACGCAGGACGCAGCCCCTTTCCCGCTTCTCCGTCTATTAACGAAATTTTGGAAGTGTGTCGGAGCGACATGAAATCGCAGCGCTGAACACCTTTTTCAAACACCCATGCCGCGTTTTCATACAGTTAATAAGCTGCCCCAAACGGGCCCTTAAAATATTCATTTCCTTATAATGAAATAAATATAAAGAAATGTTTTAATAGGTTACAGATAAATATTTTCTTATATTTATAACCTATTAAAATATTTTCTCATATTTATCTTGATATTTGATTTGATAGATTTATTAATAAAGGATACTAACTGTGAATTTTATATGGAATTATTAATAAAATGAAAATAGAAAATTAATTAATAAAAATACAAATAATTGTTTTTCAAATTTTTATCAATAATACCTCTATTTCCTTCAAATAACACCGTCACATTAAAAAATACCATGTCGATAACATAATGGTTTCCTCACCAATAATACCTCAGTTACTGTCGAATAACACCACTTCACAACACCAATAACACTGAATTAATGCCAAAACTGCTGCAATAACATCACAGAAGAAGAAACGTCACAATAAACAATACCGCAGAAACTCTCGAATAATATTGTAAAATAACACTAAAATTATAATAATAATAAAAAACAAACCAATAACAGGACACATATTACAACGGGCATATTCAGGCTGGATCAGATAATTTTTTAAGGAAAAATATTACATCGGGACTCCGAACATAGCTCTTCGTTCGGATTGCAATAGTTAGGAATATCCTGTTGCGTTACATGAATATTTATCTGCGTTATTTGTAAAAATGAAGTGTTATTTGAGTATTTTATGGTGTTACTCGATTATTTTATGGTGTTATTGGAATATTTACCCGCGTTACTTGATTTGGGGCTATGTTATTCCAATAATATAGTAAAAATTGAAATAACACGAGAAATATGTCGAATAACATAGCCCCAAATCAAGTAAAGCAGATGAATATTTCAATACCCCAACAAAGTAATCGAATAACACCATATTATATTCGAATAACACTTCATTTTTTATAAATAAAACTAATGAAATATTCATGTAACAGAACGGGATATTACAACGACACAACTACTATTGGAAGCTGAGGTAATCCCTAAACAGCACATAAAACTGACGAGAACTCGCCGGAGAAGCGGCTGTGTCTGAAGAAGAGGAGTTCAATCTAATTTACTGAATCCAACCAACGCCTGGATTCACTAAATCCAGACTTTAAACCCTAAACGAAGGAGAAATTGGATATCGTTTGACAAAATTGACGCTAAACACAGCCTAGATCCTGCTAAAACCCTCCGATCAAAGCGATGGCTGAAAGATATATAAAGTATTACCGGCGTGAGAGAGCGCGTTGACGGGGGGATTCGAGAAGGCAATAACGGCGATCCCGTCGCTTTCGATATCCATCGATACGTGAGCTTTCGCCATGGATTTCCCGATCAGAGATTTCGAAGATTGCCGGTAGTCGCCGAACAATAACCGGCTGGCTTGCTTCTTAAGCGGACTCCTGCTGCGAGGAAGTTCATATAGCCGTATTTATACTTCCCTGCTTTTGTTATACACACTCTGCTTTCAAACGAATCTACTTGTTCTGTTTAGCTATAGCGTCCAAATGAAATGCACACGAGGCTAGTAATTTATTATATGGAAAAATATTATAGTTTATTTATTTATTTATTTATTTATTATTATTAATGCGTGCTAAAAAATTCGCCGTGTTAGAATAATGAATTATCTTCTTAACATTGCACGAGGATTAAATACACACTTAAATAAAAAGGAAACAACAAAGACCCATTATCCCATAAACGAGAAATAGTTACTAGATTTTTCAAGTTGCAACATCGAGTGACGGCGTCTGTCAGCGGTGCTCGACGGAGGTCGGCGGTGATCGATGGTAGTTGACAATAATCGATGATGGTCGACAGTGGTTGACGGGGGTTAGTGGTGATTGGCGGTGGTCAACGACCGCCGTCGGTGGCTACTGACGGTCGGTAGTGGTCGACGACGATCGACGATGACAGAGATGATGTTGGACTTGCGCTCCTTCTCAAATCCTCATGTTCTCTCTCAAGTTTCTTCCATCATGTGAGGGTTGAGGGTCGTGAGGCTATATTTATAAAATTTTACGTGCAATTAATGCACAAATATAAATCATTTTGATCTGACGGTCCGAAGAGCTTCCTTTGATCAGATGACGTTTGATGGACATTTGAGAGCTTTAGCGATGCCGGAATTGAGCCATCTTGGGCTCGTTGGATTCGTCTTGTCGAGACACTCGATTCAACTATAAACTCGTTAAATTCGACATCCGTTTGACATTCCTAATGTGTCCAGAAATCCTCCAATAGTGGTTTAATGATTTGATCTAAGCTTGATCTTACTCGGATTTCAATAATTTTTTATATCATTTGGTCTGTCTCATCGAGTCAGTCAGTTTGACTATAAGTTTACTGAAATCGGAGCTCTGGATGACTCTTAATTGAAGTTTGAATGTTTCTTGCTCAAAAAGTTGCCTCGAGATTCATGATGAATGATGAAAATTTATTAGTGTATCAATTATTATTATTATTATTATTATTATTATTATTATTATTATTATTATTATTTATTTTTATGCTTGATGGCTTTGGCGGTGAATTTAATTTTTTAAGAAATTTGAGTTTATTCTTAGATAATATTTAAGGGGGTGTTTGACAGCATGATTTAAGGCAGGGTTTAGGTGTAATTAATGTAAATTCAATTTTTTGGATGACATAATCCTAATTAGAGATTTAGTAAATTAGGTAGAGAGATGGATGCAAGGGATTTATTTGAAAGATTTAGTATAATATTTAGAGATTGATTTAACTTAAATCTAACCAAACATAAGAAAATGAATATTAAATCCAACCAACGGTGCATCAAATTGTATTTTCACGCGTTCCGTTTTTTTTTCCTCGTGTTCTATCTCTTTTACGAAGTATGTCCGAATTTATTAAATCCGACTATGAGGCTTATTATTCAGTCGTCGCTCGCGCCGTTGCACACTGGATTTGATAAATCTGCATATATGTATTAGGTGGATTTGATAAAGTTGATTCACATCTAATTCTAATCAAGGTGTTGTCTCAGTCATAAGAGCGAGAAAGAGTAATAATCTCTGTCATACAATATTTTCGGAGAAGCAAAACACAGAACCCTAATTCTCTCATTTTGCTTCTACCCAAATGCTCGGAAGCCTCCAAGACAATAGGGAGATAGAAATAGAACAAACAGAGGAAAACTTGCATGGTCATGAAAACTTCATTGTTATTTTAGAGATTGTGTTGAACATGGTTTATTCGTGCACTTCGTAAGAACCCATTTATATGTTATTTTTTTCATTGTAGCTTTTTTAGGGGCGTTTAACATACGCGGCACAATAATCTTATGTTTTTACATATCTAACATCCAGAGAAATATTTAAATTCATAGCACTCAGATCTTTAACATCACATCATGAATATCACTTTTACTAACTTTTTAAAAGTCAAATGCATCATTTGATGAAAGGTTTATAGCACCAAGGTGTATAAATGTAAAATTTCAGGTGTTAGATATGCAAATTTAAAAGATTTGTGTGGTACATATGCAAATTTTTCTTGAAAACACAATGAATTTTCCCCTTATTATTCAAAAAATAAGATTAAAAGGGCATCTTGATGCATGAGAGGTGGCCCAAAGATAAAAGTGCACCATAAAGGTTCTGAAGGTGCAATGATTTTTTATTTATTGTAGGTTGTACGATAATCAAAGGTTTAGTGGACACCTAAATAAAAGAAATGATGAATGACGACTAACAATGCTAGTATGTCGGTGTGCTTTCTTTACAAAGGACATACCACTATGTCTCTTGTGGTGTCATACTTGAATACCAAAAGGTTTTTTACGTTGTATACTCAATCAGGGCTTATGCCTTAGAGCCTTTGAGCCCTTTGCCTGTACAACATATCTACATTTGCATTCTGTAATTTGAATGTTGCTTGATGATCTTCCATCACGTTTGCTCATAACCTTCTTGAGTAATCATGGTGTTGAACCTTGTTTTATGTATGTTAGCATATGCATTTGTCTGCATGCTTTGGTAGTGAGCCAAACGCGGTAGATGAGTGAACATGTGTCTGCCACGATACTTTAATGAGCATTGTTCACCTAGTGGATCTCAAGGAGCAATATGAGTCAAAGCATCAGTCTCAATACTAGTATGACTATGCTAAGGATCCAAGGGATCTAACTTGTGTCATCTTGCATGTTACAGGCCTGCATTTAATGATCGTACTTTAAAATAATAAAAAACTTTTTTATTTTTTTATTTATGATATTCATCCTATTTTTAAAATTATGCAAATAACAAGCTATGCCATATGTAAGGCCAACTCTATTTAAAATCCATCTTGGGTGATATATGTTAGATCCCTTGGATCTTGGGTAAGTGTGGCTATCACATTAAAGTCATGCATACCCAGAGACTTTACCTTGAGCACTTGGATGCTGGTTATGAAACTTTTCGTTGGATGGTGTGTTATGCTAATATTAGGGTGCAGACAGTCTTTTTTAATGTTTTGCTTTTGTTTTTTTGTTGGTTTTGTTGCCTGAGCTAGGCATCACTTTGTATGTTATTTTGTGTGTTTACTAAGTGCGGACATGTGTAATAGTGTATTAGGTCGATCTTCATGCTAGGAGCCATGCTAAATATATCACACCACATGTTTAATAAGGGAGGGCCAATGTCATGATTTATATGCTAACTTTTTCTTAAAGATGTTGCAACATACTCCTCTGGTCAAACATGGCTCATATTCGTTGCATGTTAACCTGTGCTAGTGTTTTTTGTAGGTCAAGTCATTTATTTTTCTTTTATCATATATTTCATAGAGTCTTAGGATCAAGTCTGTACAAAGATAAGGCACGCGCACAGGTTTATATGTGTTTGGCGTTGGAACCGCATGACAGGAACTAGGAGCAGTAACTCGTGTCCCGTATCATAATTTTAAATCTATATTCTTGTATAGAATTAGGTTCAGATATGTATATGAGAAGTTTGTCTCTCTTTATTGCTTTCTTAAGAGAGTTTGCCGATCTAGCGACACCAGTTTGTTTATATATTTTGCTTGGTTTGCCTTGACTTTTGTTTTAGGATTGCTTTATTTTTTTGTTTCTTTTTGTTTGTTGTTTGTCTGGGATTGATCATGAAAAATAAATCTAGGCTCATTAAGGACCCTCAAATTTTAAACAATTTGCAAAATCTTAATAATAAAAGATTAAGATTAATTAAAATTTAGGGTTAAAGTATTCATGACTTTTAAAACTTGCACTTCCTTTTCTGCATGGCCATCAAACCAGTTTTAAAGATAGTTTGCTTGGCATGGTTATATCCTTAACATGTTTAACAAGGCCCCCACACTTAGGCCTGCTTTAGATAATTGAATCACATTTGCATGTCCCTAGGAGAATCCCTTGTTCTTCTTCAATCTAACTGGCCCGACATAGATTTATTTTTAATTGGTTTTCTACTGTGATTAAGGTGTTAGAGACTTCCCTGACCCAGACATGGTATAAGTCCTTTGTGGAGAGTGTTTTTCAACTTTGTAGCTTGACTTTATCTTTTCCCTTCTTTCTTAAGGTATATCCACCATTTACTTGGCGGGCATAAGTCCCACCTCTTTGAGGTATACCTTCATAGGTCATAGAACAATAGTTTCCTTCTTTTGACCTTAGTGCTACCGAGGTCTCCTTGTACGACGCAATTCACACATTGTTGACTAGGAATTTCCGGTTGTGTTGGGTCGACTACCTTCACGAACAGGTAAACTTGGGGTCTTAATGGCTTAAGATGACAGATCTGTGGTATCATTACTCAACTACCTCTATCTGCTTAGGGATTACTCTACCATTCCTGTTGTTGAGCTCTTTTGAGCCACATAGTTCTTTTGTGACTTCGTTGATATCATCTTGACAACCCGATTATTGATGAGCTGCCACCCATTTAGGATATGACGATTCACCTTTTGCCCTTATGACATGGTGAGCTATGAAGTTTAGGGATATCCCCGTCAAGGCAATTTGGTTATTTCGTAGATTCTACATGTCGATGAACCGCAACCCAATTAGGATGTGAGAGACTCTCCCTCTGTCATGTGGCTTAGAGAGAGTCTGAAAGCATCGGGGTATTAAAATACGAAATAATCATTCTTTGGTGTCATGTTTCACTAAGTTATGATAATGTGAGGAAAACTTCTTTTGTTGAGAGTATTCTTGAGTATCTCCTTTAATGTAATTAGCCAAAGAGATATGTTCCTTTGGGAGTGTTCTTGACCCCAGAATAACAATGTTCTTTTAGTTCTTTGGTTATGAGTGGTTTATGTAGGGACTTCTTTTGTGGGTACCATATTTTGAGGTATTTTGATCTGAACTTGTTCGGACATATACTTTTGACCTATCACACGAGAATTATCTATACATAAGTCTTCTATGTTTCTTTTCAAAATTTATTTGTCTATTTTCACCATATATCCTATTTTTTTTTTATTCTTCTCTTCTTCAAATCATTCATTTGATTCAAG